CATCAACGACCTTTCATCCATCTAAACACACTAACTACATCAATGCAACGCACAACAGATATATGTCACGGTGCACTGACTGGTTGTACCAAACGCACATTATGTAAGTACTAAATCTGCCACCCAATCATATGACTAATATACTTTCAATAATCATAACCGTATTACGCAGTCATTTTATACTCCCAACGCACATGAGCTCTCGTTACGCAACTCTGCACGTACCTATCGTCTACAACGCATTATATACATGGCAATTTAGGTGTACTAATGCGTATAATATTATATTTTTTGGCTGTTTTAGAGGGCCAAATGACTTTTGGTTATAGTTTAATGCATTGGTATTTAAATGTTGAATTTTTGTATAATTAGAAGGTATGTCAATAACATACTAAATAGTTTGTGCATTTACAAAGTATGGTACCGGGCAGTCCAGACATTGTGTTATACACCAGTTTTTCTAATTCATAATAAATCAGGCATTAAAAAAAATGACCACAGCATTACTTCTAATTCCTAAGCAGGTACATCCAGAAGGGAAATAAGAAACTGCAAAATATGAAACCTCCCTTCATAACGGTATTGTTCAACAAAAATTCTGCATGTTTTAAAAGCTTCCTTGGTAACAGTTTTCTTCAAAATAAATGGGAATGCAGAAAACAAACATACCCAATGCGTACAAGTTGCAAAAAAATGACGTAACAAAAAACGCACAGAATTACATGCAACCGTTAATAACATTTCTACTTCCATGGGCAGCTCCTACTGTTGTGCCCAGCTGCCATGCCACATGTTTTGCATGTGCGCTTCTTCATGTTTTGCTCCTTCATTGCCAGCTCTTTAGCAGACCTCATTCGTTTACCCGACCCTTTGTTGCTTGTCACCGGTGGTTGGTGCACAGTAATCGTCTCAGGTGCGGGTACGCCACAGTATGACTCCATGATCGCTTCTTTCCTACTAGATGCATCCCCTTGGACTTCTTCGTGCTCGCACCATTTTGTCTCCATATCCGATAGAACAGAACACATTTGTTGCAATTTTAAACTGTCCCCTTTGGCAATCCCTAAACACCTGTAGAACGTGTTTATTACATCACCTGTTTCGTTACCCGGTGTTGCCCCTGTGTTATCTCCATATCCATCCTTCCGCAGTTCGGATGCATAATCTGGTATTGCGTTACGGGTCCATCGGGGGGTGATCTATTGTGGCGCTATGGTATCTATCCTCTCGTATATTAGCACTGCAAAAGCGTGTCGGCACAATAGACCAATCCTTATATACATTCGGCAGGGGCAGTGCGTTATCATTGTCCCATTCTCGACGGTCAACCCGTAATGTGTCCCCCGTTTATCATCCACCTCATAAGTCTTAATGCTGCCACCGACTGTCACTGCTCTTACCCGGCATTCAAAACAGCCTGCAATAATTTCCTCCTGGACATCATAAAACACCGTTAGTGTGTACATTTCTGATGCATAACGCTCAATTCCTAGTGGTGTTTTGAAAGTGGGGGTCTGTGTTTTGCTGAGACCGCTAAGTTGTGCGTGCGTGATCCGTTGCTTTCGCACTGTACTCTCAAATAGGATGAAGAATTCTGTAAGGCATAGGTGTTTGTTAGTATTGCTTCTGAAAATTCTATTCTCGGCCTCGGACCGGGATGTAGTACGTAGTAGTCCCCCCATAAAAACACCTTCAAAACACGCAGGAACCCATGATGCACGCTCATCATACATACGTTTCAGCCACGGATTTTCAGTTATGGCATATTTTTCCATTACAGCTTTCCATGCATGCTCGAAATTTTCAGTCGTTGACGCGTCGTTCCATACTATAGTATTTAGCTCCCGTCTAAACTCTTCGTTCCTCGCTAAGTCAGTACCAACTTTATCACCCACCTTTGTCATTATGTGCCACATGCAGTACCGATGACGCGTTTCAGGGAATTCCTGTGCAATTGCAACTTTCATCGCCGGATCTTGATCAGTTACAGTGATAGCGGGGGGACTGCCCATTGCATTTTTGAAGTTCTTTAATACCCAAACGTACGTGTCCACGTCTTCCCGTGCAATTAGAGACGCTCCAAATGTCACGCATTTCTTATGGTTGTCGATCCCGGTAAATGGCACAAACACGAGGTTGTACCTGTGTCAGCAAAGGGTTAGTTTACTTGAATAAAATATGGCTTTTTGTATTCATATGCACGTGCTTCAGCGAAACGCACACACTGTGTGCATAGTACGCTGCCATATTCGTTATTATATATTTCTTCATACGCGCGTCAAACATACACACAAACACAGTCACATTAATTCACATATTTCGGGGGTCCAACTACAGTAAAAGTTGTACAAGGTTCAGAATATCTTACCGGTTAGTCTTGTACGTCGCATCGAAGGACACAACATCTCCAAACGCACTGTAATGTTTTTGCGCTAAACCATCCGCCCAAAAAATCCATGTCAATTGGTCGTTATGGTTTGCTTCATACTTGAAGTACATGTCAGGGTAGTCAGCCTTTTTATCCAGGTATTTGGATATTACCATTTGGCAGTCTCCTCCGTGCATGTATGCCAAAACATCCAGTCGGTAATTTTTTAAATCTTGCTGTGTTGCTCCAACGTGTTCTGTTCCACCCACAACCTCTGCGTATATTTCATAACTTTTGCTCGAGCCCACATTCACTTTTGCGCAATTTGTTATGAACTGTTGGTGACCAACATCTAATTTCCTGTTTACTTTCAAGAACGGTTTATAGCTCTCATCGCACAAACAGTGCGTGTGGCCCTCTTCAAATGTCGTGACTAAATACCTCACCGCACTGTCTCTTTTGAACACAATCTTTGCCATGCACCCGACTCGGTTAGATGGCCTGCGACGCTTGGTCTTTGTTCCAATTAGCGTTTTAGGTGGATCTGATTTTTTGCTCGCTTTGAAACCTTCGCGTGAACAAACCAGTTTCTTCCTTAAGATAACTTTGTGCTTGTTCTTTTTGTCTGAACTGCGGCGCACATCAAAGCCTGCGACAGATGCGTACTTGTTATAGAAGTCAACACCCTCGTCTAATGTTGAAAACAATTGTCAGACAAATGGTTTTATGGGTGTGTCTCAAGCCGTCAACCAAACCTTGGTCCCACTCGAGGATATATTCATATAACAATGGTCTTCGTCGACATCGCCCCCCATCATTGGTGCACCTGCCACTCAAAAGTAAGATAATTACAAAAACCTGCGTATTCAAATCAAAACCACCATCATAGATTTGAATGCATTATGCACAAACCTGTTCATTATTTCGACTATCGGACACCCCCCAAGGTCGCTCAGTTTATAACCATTCGAAATAACCAGGAAGATGCACAGACATAAAGGTGTTTATGCACTGACTGGTACAACCCAAAAAAAAAAAAAAAAACAAAAAAAAAAACAAAAAACAAAGCCACAGACACAGTTTATTTTGTCTATTAGGTAGTACGCCGTACGGACGGGCCAATGTATCTTTACGCTTAGGCCGTTGGATAGACGGGTATCGAACACCCCCCACCCTCGTTAAGTTTTCAAACGTTTTACAAAACCATTGAATTTGCACAGACGTAAAAGTGTATATGCACTTACCGGAACAACCCAAAGAAAAGACAAAAACACAGACACCTTCTAACTTGCCTATTAGGTAGGACAGCGTACGCACAGGCAGGTGTCCCTTTACGCTGCCGATTTTTTATAGTCAGCTATCGCCCGCCACCTAACCTGGTTCAGTTCTTAACCATTTCGAAAAAACAATGGAAATGCACAGACTTAGAGGTGTATACGCACTTACCGGTAATGCTAATATCCATTTGCTGAAAGTTCTAAACTGTTGCTCCTGCCATCAACCGCGAAGCCTTCACACATCTACCATTGTTAACGCTAATTCATTTCTTTAATCTTTTTAATATTAGAATCTTTTAATTTCCATCCTCAAAAGCATCAAAAAATGCTTCATATTCCATTAAAATTATGTCCTTAAATAAATTAGGCTTACAATTACTAATATAACCTTAACATTGATAATAACTGACATTATTTCTTTTAATCTCAACCATAGATGAGAATTTAATCAATGTGTATTAGTGGGCCTCATGGTCTCATCTATTAGAGGGGGTGCACCAGATCCAAAGCCTATATACATACATACATACATACATATATATATATATATATATATATATATATATGTATATATATATATATGTATATATATATATATATATATATATATATATATATATATATATAAGAGCGCTAATATGTGGTCATGTCGTTAGGTTTGGTCGTATCTGTGTCGTTGAATCAGTTTAAATTAACGGCAGTGGTAATTCTGAGGATTTTCGCGCATTTTGGTAAGTAGGGGTGTTATGGTAATTACAATGACCATTTATAGCGAGTGGGTTCCAGAATGCACCATCATTGTTGACAACATACACCAATAGTGTAATAAAACACACCACAGTGAAACACACCAATGGTGTATTCCCATGTTATGGTAATTACAGTGGCCATTTATAGCGGCTGGGTTCCGAAATACACCAACAGTGTTGACAACATGCACCAATAGTGTAATAAAACACACAACAATGTGATTTTTCCTATTCCGATATTTTATGACGAGTTTACCCTTGCAATTCGCTAGATAGGAGAATGTGCGCAAAAATACTGGAAAAATCTTGATTAATATGATTAATTGGATCTATCTAATAATCTAATGGCCTATAATTGACCATATGACCACACCTAACAACCTGACAACCTGACCACATGTGATCACTCCTCAATATATATATATATATATATATATATATATATATATATATATATATATATATATATATATATAAATGCACTCAGGTGCGAATGCCGCGTCCAGGCGCAAAATGCGACCCAATCAGCGCGCGCCACGTGTCTAGAACTAGGTGCACATATAATTATAATTAGATGCACACATAGTTATAACTAGGTGCATCTAGTAGAAAGTAGGTGCACTTATTGGTGAAAGTAGGTGCACTTGTAGGTGAAAGTAGGTGCACCTGATCAATGAATCATAATAGGGCAAAATTACATTCACTTGTAGGTGAAAATAGCTGCACTTGAAAGTGAAAGTAGAGACAAAAACTACATACACTTGCAGGCGAAAGTAGGTGCACTTGTAGGTGAAAGTAGGTGTACTCGATTAATTAATGCGACACGTGGCGTGCGCTGATTTGTTCACATTTCGCGTCTGGGCACCTATTCGCACCTGAGTGCAACCCTCTCTCTCTCTCTCTCTCTCTCTCTCTCTATATATATATATATATATATATATATATATATATATATATATATATATATATACTCACACACACACAAATATATATATATACTCTCGTGATGTATCAATTCTAAGTCCCGCAATTTCTCTTATTTTCGTATGAACAAATTGGTCTATGCAAGGGGTAACTCAATTTTTTAACCCACTCTCATTGTAGCCATGAATTCTCCAATACATGCTAATGAATGTGTACATCAAATATTAACAAGATATAAAGACAAAACTTTCACAAACACATGAACCTAGGCTAGAGTTCTTCCCCATTTTACAATAATCACAAATTATGTATCAAGATAGATAATACAACTCTAACTCAAATCCAAAAACTAACTACTCACAATTCAATAGCATAAGAACATAAAAGCACAAATAATAAACATAAATCTTGCAAAAGAAAGAGATAAAAGGTAGGAGAACTTATGTATTGAAAATTGAAGAACATTCTTGAAAGGTTGGAATCCAAGCATCAAATCCGAGTTTACAAGCTTCTAAAATGTTATAAAATCTAAATTTAAGCCTAATCTAACTTAAAAATATGAAAGGAAGTGAATGATAGTGGTTAGAGTTCCACCATGGGTCAAAACCATATAAAATGAGTGAAAACGAGCTTAAAAGGGGCAAAGCAAGTAGGGACGGCCTTGGGGACGTCCGTACACTGTTTTCTTGTAGCTAAAATCGCGCACGGATGTCCGTCCAAAAGGCAGTATGAATTTCCCAGATTTTTCACTGTTTCGATTTGCACTGCTTTGTCATTTCCCATTCAGTTTGACCTTTAGCAAATGAATTTATGGTCTTCATCAAAGTTGTATCCATTCAAGTTAGCTTTCCAATTCCGTTGAAAGCATCCATTTTGACCTTTCTACATCAAGATATGATCAAAATACCGAACATAGGTCAGTTTTGGGTGAAATATGTAAGTTTGGAACTTCAACTTCAAGGATGATTTTGACCCCTGTGACTTCCTTTTTAGGATTTGATGTCTATATAAGAGTTGTAACCCTTTGAGTCTTCTTTACAATTTCGCAAGAATCACATAATTTGGACATTTCTAGGCTGAGATATGGCTCATATATCGAACAGTGGCCAATCTATGCGAGAATTTCAGCTTTTTGACACTTTTACCTTGATTTGTCCATATGACCAAAACCATTGAAAATACCACTCTTTTACTCCTTAGGAAGTATTTTATCCATCATCTTAACTTCTCCTTGGTCCCCATTGACTCTTAATGCATCCAAAACGCTCCATTTGACTATAATTAATAGACATGAAAGCAGAGTGCTATGTGAAAGAAAGAAGACGATGTATCATTGATTGGACTGAGCATGTAACAGAATGAATCCAGTAAGAGTACAACGCCTAACTTTATACAAGAGGGAGGAGGGAATAGCGGTTATAACTAACTACGGGAATGTAATTACATTGTTGCCCTCTCCTATCTTTGTCACCTTCATCCTTGCTGCTTAGATCAGACTGCACAATCGGTGTGCTGCTCTCTGTTACGCCCCCCCCCCCCCCCCCCCCCCCCGCGCGGTAAGCTGGAGCGTGGAGGTCCTGAACGCCTATCTTAGAGATAAACAACTAGAAGAGAGAGATGGGGAGAGCTTTGGTGAATCCATCTCTAACTTGACCGGTGATGAAACAGAGTTTAACCAGCCCCTGACTTACCTTTACATGAACGATATGGCAATCTATTTTTATGTGTTTCGTTCGTTCGTGAAACACAAAGCTTTCTCCAATGGCGATTACGGACTTATTGTCACAAAAGAAAGCAGCGGGTCTAGTCAATTAGATTAGAGAATAGCTTTCATTCAATAACTGTTTCTCAGAAGAATACAAAGTATATGTCTACAAGGACTCTAACAAACCCTGACTAATAGATCAGATGTAACAATCTAATAACACTACCACATAATATAAACTATATATTATACAAAGATAATAAGACAAAATAATATATGCTAACACACCCCCTCAAGCACAAGGTGGCAGCATAGCAACATTGAGCTTGTCCCGTAGAGCAGCAAACCGTGTAGAAGGTAGTAGCTTAGTCAGTATATCGGCTAGTTGATCTGTAGTAGACACATAATTAACAACAAAATCCCCTGATGCAACTTTATCACGAACAAAATGGTAGTCAATTTCCACGTGTTTGGTGCGTGCGTGAAAAACTGGATTGGCACACAGGTAAGTTGCCCCAAGATTATCGCACCATAGCGTTGCTGGACCGCCAGAATGTAGACCGAGTTCCTGCAGTAAAGATACAACCCACGTGACTTCAGCAGATACATCAGCGAGAACTTTGTACTCGGCTTCAGTCGACGACCGGGCTACCGTACGTTGCTTCTTGGATAGCCACGATATGAGATTAGAACCAAGATAAACAGCAAACCCAGTAGTACTCTTCCTGTCTATCGGACAACCTGCCCAGTCCGAATCTGAGTAGGCGTGAATGGTGGTAGACGATGACGGTGTGAGTTGTAACCCATAGTCCAGAGTTCCTTTAACATAACGGAGAACACGTTTGACTAGATTCCAATGGTCGACTGTAGGTGAGTGCATGAATTGGCATAGTCGGTTGACAGCATAAGCAAGATCAGGCCTCGTGATGGTTAAATACTGTAAGGCCCCGACAATGAGCATGTACTGTGTCGGGTTTTCATAAGGGGTGTCGGACGGTGTGGCCACTTTAGTAATAGTAGCCGGAGTGGTGAGAGGCTTGCAGTCTACCATGCCTGAGCGACCCAGGAGATCCGTCATGTAGCGACGTTGTGATAACAGTAGACCATCACCTGTGCGAACCGTCTCAATACCCAAGAAGAAGCCCGGTTCTCCTAAGTCACGAATTTTGAAAGCTGTGGATAATTGCTTAAGTAGAGTAGTGACAAGGTTGTCGTCGTTGCCCATCATAATAATGTCGTCGACATAGTCCAGCAGAAACACACGGGATTGTTCTGCAGTGTAGTAGAACAACGAGACATCGGTCTTGGAGGACCGAAAACCTGCAGATAACAGCGGAGCACCTGGAATTCCCGAGAAGGTTGAGACAGCGGGCTTGGCTTGAGGATCCGAGTGCGGAGGTGATGGATTGCCATATCTCTGCCGATGTGGTTCGGCCAAGCGCTAAATGCAGCACTTCATCCGACATGGATGAAATCAGGAGAGACAGGATCGATTGATCCTGTTTCACCCATGCCCGGTGTTCCGGATTGGGGACGATGGTCGCCGCGGTGGTGCCTGCCGACGATCCCTCCGATGACGGAGCAGCAGTGACGGTTTCTGGTGGACACGGAAGAGAACCGTCAACAAAGCCCAGCAGCTCTTGACCCCGGAGAAAGGGAATTAGCTGGGCGCGCCAAAACAAGAAGTTACGTGACGTGAGTTTCATCGTCACGTAATGATGAGCGCCGGCGAGAGACGGCCCGCCGGCCGGAGACGGAGTGCCGGCAGCGGAGACTGTACGTTCGGAAGAATGGGAAGACATTCCGATGGGTCGTACGGGAAAAGAGGGGGAAATTTACGGTGGAGATTGATGAAAGATCGATATCCCGGCTGATACCAGATAGCTTTCATTCAATAACTGTTTCTCAGAAGAATACAAAGTATATGTCTACAAGGACTCTAACAAACCCTGACTAATAGATCAGATGTAACAATCTAATAACACTACCACATAATATAAACTATATATTATACAAAGATAATAAGACAAAATAATATATGCTAACAAATTAGACATGTAATCCTGAAGCAAAGTTGTAATCCACTGCACCTCGCAAAATGTCTCAGCAAGAGCCCGATATTCCACCTCAAAGGACGAACGGGAAACTGTGGCTTGTTTCTTTATTTGCCATGAAATGGGAGCCTATCCAAGAAAGATGCAAAAACTAGTGACTGAATTTCGAGTTTCCGGGCAAGATGCCCAATTAGAGTTAGAGAACGCGTTCAGCTGCATTTCACCATTTCTGGGATAGAGTATCCCTTGGCCAGGGGCTTTCTTTATATATCTTAGGATGCGGTGTGCTGCGACCAGATGATCATTGGTAGGTTTATCCACAAATTGACTGAGTTGTTGTACTGCAAAGGTGATGTCTAGCCTTGTGGCCGTGAGGTACAAGAGACGTCCAACGAGATGTCTATAGTCATTAATGCCTTGAAGTATAGTGCCCCCTTATTTTTGCTATTGATGTCCTGGAACCATAGGCGTGTTTACTGGCTTGCAAGACAGAAATCCAGCTATAGTGAGTAAGTCTATGGCATACATCCTTTGGCATAGGTTTAAACCGTCATCATTCATGTGGGCCTCAATACCTAAGAAGTATCCAAAGTTGCCTTGGTCCTTGATTTTAAATGTAGTATCAAGGAAGCTCTTTAAGTCTTGAATCAAAAACTGACTAGGACTGGGGACAAGAATGTCATCAACATAGATTAATATGGCAATGAACTGTGTGCCTTGACCCTTAACAAACAATGACGGATCCGACTTCGACTGCTCAAATCCCATGCTCAGTAAAGCATTAGTTAACTAGTAGTTCCATTGCCGGCTAGCCTGTTTCAAGTCGTAAAGGGAACGAAGAAGTCTGCAAGCTTGCCCCGGCTTATCACTATGAAAGCCAGGTGGGAGAACCATGTAAACTTTCCCATCCAGACTTCCATGTAAAAATGCATTGTTGATGTCTAGTTGATGGATGTTCCAACTACGTGATGCAGCCACTGCTAGGAAGGCACGTATGGTGGTGAGCCTTGCCACTGGGGAAAAGGTTTCAATGTAATCAACTCCCAACTGTTGGGTGAAACCTTTTGCAACCAACCTTGCCTTGTATCGTTCTATGGAACCATTTGCTTTAAGCTTTACTTTGTACGCCCATTTGCAACCGATGGGGGTCTTTCCAGGTGGTAAGTCAACAATCTCCCAAGTGTTGTTTTCTTGCAAAGATTTGATTTCAACTGTCATTGCATCCTTCCAACAATCATGCTACACAGCTTGATTATATGTTCTGGCTCATCAACAAAAGTAACAGCCATTGAGAACATCATGTGAGGCATGGTGAGGCTTTCGTAGGAAATGACCTTAGATAGGGGATGAGGAGAGGAGTTCTTTTCCACGATGGCATCATATAAGTAGTAGTCTTGAAGCCTAGTAGGAACATGTCGAGTTTTACCAAATCGTCTAGGCTCTAGAGATATTCTGTCAGTGGCCATTCCTTGTGATTGACTCAACTCGTTGGTAGACTGAGTGTGAGAGTTCTGATCACCAGGGTCTGGTGGTGGTTGTATGCCAAGGCTTGGTTGGATGTCAAGACTAGGACTGAATGGTTGTATGGAAGCATGTTGGTGATCAAGTTCAAACTCCATAGTGGTGGTTGTTGGAATCAGAGGCCACGGTGGTTGGTGGCTTCTTAAGCACATATAGAATTAGGATATTTGACTTCTGGTTACCATAGTCATCATTTAGCCCTTACAAAAAATGGATTACATGATCAACATCTCTCTCTTTTCGAATCTGATCGACGAGATTATAGGCACATCTCAGACTGCATTTGTAAATGGGAAGTGTCATCAATGTGTTCATCTCATCCCATAGGGTTATGTTTTTGGTGTAGTAGTCACTCACAGACATGAGACCTTGCTTCATGTTGTAGATCTCATTCTATAAGATGGATATGTGTTGCGCATCACAGTGAGAGAACCTTCTCCTTAGATCCTCCCATATTTCTCTCCCTTTGTCAAGATGCATTATACTCTGAGCAATCGAGGGGTGTACGGCCTTGAATAACCAAGAACAGGCCATTAGATTGCATCTCCTCCACATCGAGTACTGAGGATGATCTCTGCCAAGCTCTGTGAGGCTGCCATCAACCAAGCTCCATTTGTTCTTAACTTCCAGGGCAATCTGCATGCTGATACACCAAGTTTCGTAGTTGGAACTCCCTAGCAGTGGTGGACTGACCAGCACAGCAGTCGGATTGTCCAGTTCTTCCGTGCTGAAACTTCTATGTTGATTAGTTTGATTCCCCTGCGGAATCGTTTCTGGAACAGTGTGAGCCAATGAACCAGATGCTG